GCAGCACTTGTACCGATTACCGAGAATGATTTTCAAATATGCTCTTGTTTTTATGGGAGATCATGGCTTGGAGATTGACAGTTTCCAAGCTGAGTGGACCCAACACTGGAATTACAAAACTCAGAGGTAACTGAAAGGCGCTGAGGTCATTGAGCAGGAGGTTACTGGTCATGTTCATGAGAAATCCAAAGGCATTTCTTTAGCAGTCTCGGACTTAGTGGCGCTTTATGTTCCCTTGTAACTGTATATTCCAATCTAAAAAATATCTCCTGTTGCAGTCTTGTCCCTGTGAAAGACTTCCTCCTCTAAGATAGAAATGAATCTATGATGATCTAGGTATCGAACGCCAAGCAAAACGACCGAAATACATTCCCAAAAGTAAGCCCGAGACACAATTCCCAATCTGATAGCACAAATAGTCCCAGTCATAGCCTCCTGAACATGCAAATGACTCCCCATTCACAATTTCATCTCATCACAACACCCAGTTACCAGTCCCAGTCTGGCTCAGTCTCCCTCATCATGACAGCTCCGGCCACTTGCTCAGACTCTGTGACATAGTAGTTTGAGTCGCTTCCGATCAATGTCAGAGTTCCGTAGACAACAAGGCGTCGGCATTTCCTTTCTCATGTTAGTTGAGCCATGGCCATAGCTGCAAGTATACCTACAATAGTCCTGTGATGCTCACGTTTCCATAAATCTCCAAGTCTGTGGCCTCGAGTGTTCCCACGACTCGGAGCTTTCCACAGCCCTTGATCTTGTCGTTGGCAACGGCGTATCCGTTCACCAAGATGTTTCCGTAGGCCTTGACCTTGCCACTGTTTCTTTGTCAGTCTCGGATCACACTCAGGAGAAGGGTCAAACTCACTCGCATCTGATGCTTCCGTTCAGAGCAAGGCTTCCATAGGCGTCAACCTTCTCTCGAACAATTACATCGCCGTTCAGGCTGATGCTGCTTCCAGACTTGACGGATCCAACAACCTCAATTGGTCCGTTGAGATCGATCTCATGGTCGCTCTTGATGCTTCGGGATCTCTTGAAAGCCGGGGGGCTAGCGTAGGAGGAGGTAGTGTTGTAGTAGCTGGCCATATTCAAGACTTTCGGATCCGTTTCTTTGTTTCAGGTGTTTTCGCAGAAGATTGCAATTGTTGTTATAGTGATAGTGATTGCAAGTTGTTGTGCAAAGATGTGAGTGAAGATGGAATTGTGAAATACTGTCCTTAGGAACAAGGACGTTCTTCTTATACTTCATGTTTTCAACCCGTTTGCGCAAAGAGGTTGAAACTACACATAGGCAGACTGGAGCCTCAAGAGACTCACGTCCATTCAAACAACCCCTTGCTATGTTAGCCCCAGCCATAAGGCATATCTTGCAGGACGATATGAGACCCTTATTACTCAAGCCAGGCACGGGACCCGTAGATGGATACCGAGATGCCGGGCACTGCAGCAAAAAGGCGTGACGCCTTATGCAGGTTGGAGCAATAGAGTAGAGGCTTATCGGGCTAGCCAATGGAGATATGCAGGTCTAGAGAAGGGATGGGAGGACTAGCAATAGTTTGTGATTCATCTTGAACCTACCTAACTAGACCGGGTGACCAGGTATCAGACTCTTGATCGGCATTTCAACTTTTGCCGTGATTGATTGATTCATCCCAAGATAACACTACTCTCATGTTATTTCTCTCTAGATTGACATGATTGCCATATTGTTCAAGCTCATGAGTCTGGAAGAGACACTCAAGGCACTCTTTGTGGAGTCCCCAGCCTAGTAGAAGTGTCTAACAACAGGGGTGTATCAAGTCGTCCTATATCCAGGACCGAGACCAGGACCAACGCCTCATTCTGTCCCACGAACACCACCATTTCACAATCTCGACAACGAAACATGACTGACTAACTTCATTTCTTGCATTCACATGCCCAATGCGTCATAAAAGACCCAGAAATTGGGGAGCCGGCTCAGCTGGGCCTGTAAGCTTAGGACTCATTTTACTGGTGTTTGCCTGGGGAGACATATCCCCTTGAGTATACCGAATTGTCGATCAGTCTGCATCCGATTCTGCTGCCTTGATTCTCGGGCGTAGTCTAGTGTACATGTACTGTATCGTATCGCGCTGCAGGCATTTTTAACGTTGAAACCCTTGTTCTCGTTAAGAATCGCCCGAGGCTGTACAGTCTCTTAGTCCCGTTAGTCTACATCGACTTGTCCCCAGTTGGATCTGCGCCTCAGCCCTATGACTGACCTCCTCTTGTTGTTAATTCGCTGATGCTCGAATGTCCCCGTTTAGAGGCGCACACCACCCTGTTTCCTTCTAGAAGACGCCAAGCCGTTGCCCAGGATGCCCCGTCGTTGCCTAATAAGCAGTCAAGGCACCTGTGCGATATCTCGACAGTCCCAGCTGCGATGAATTCAGTGTTTCACATCTGCCTAAATATCCCTTCGTAAGATATGAATCGACGACTTTAGAGAAGAACTCCTAAAAAATGGTATTTATACGATAGCAAATCAATAAAAAAAACCCGGTAAAATTACATAGAAAAAAGGTACTATAAATATCAAACCCATAGTCACTTGACAACGAATTCAACATCGTCAAGTAACCACGCCCTGAATCCTTCTGACTCCGATCGATAAATGAAACCAGGGTATTAATCCCTCCATCTCAAATCAAGGATACTCTCGACACCCTTTCCTTGCTCCCCACCAAGTTCGTCTTTGTAAGGCTGATATAGCCTTCTAGAATATGACGTCTCAGTCATTTAATCTCCGCCCACGAAGCCCAGACCAATACCGCTGCAGATGGCAGCAAATGCCCAGACGCCCGCATACACGGCAGCTCCAGAGGCATCGACACGATACAAGGTCTTGGACGAGGCGAGGAACGTGTTCACTGCAGTGACAAGGGCAACGACAATTGTTCGACGAATAACCACCTTGGTCTTGACGGTGTAACCCCACACATTCCACCAAACGGTCTCCCCGAGAGATGCAGCCACGGGATCAAACTCGTTAAGCTTGTCGTCCTCCTTGGCACGTGCTGTCGTGGCGAAAGGCGCAAAGATAAAAGTGCTAGCGGCGATGCCGAACAGGGTCGTCACGGGGAGAATGGCAGCATATGAAGCATTATAGGCGGGCTCCAATGTCGGCACTCCTGAGTAGTTGACAACCAGAATGCGAGGCAGAATGAATCGTAGCGACAGGACAAGGACAACGGTGTAGATGCCCGTTGATAGAGCGGCCGTGTACGTCTGGAGGGGAAGATCGAGAAGCTCGCGGTTGGGCAGACCTGCAGCTGCGGCAGCTGAAGGTGTATGAATAGTAGAGAGCGGGCGAAGCAGGAAGAAAGGCACAGCGATTGAAAGAACGTCAATGGCAAGAGCCGAAGCCGAGATAGTCCAGTTGAGCTCATAGAAGGTTGAGAGGAGGTAGTACTGTTCATCGGTCAGTTTCTTGCTGGTCCATATTTTGCGACGGGTGGAGTCAACTGACGTGAGGGCCATGGGCGAGAAGATTCAGCATCGCAACATCGAGGCTGTCCAGCTTCCCATACCATCCCAGCGTCAACTCAATCCTAGCGACGCCATTAGTACTTCTTCTAATTCCCAAGCTTATCCGACTCACACTCTCCATCCGGCAAGTAGCGAAACCTCTGCCCAAGTATCCTGGCTTCGGCTCAGAGCAGCAAGCTCGCCGTTGGTAAGCTCGCCCAGCAAGCTGTATCCAAGCGAAGCCATCGCAAAGCTTGTCGCAACGGCGATAGGGAACTGCGCCTGGCGGGGGACCACGTCGCGAAAGGTGCGCGGAGGGTGTTGGACCTCCTTTGGCGATGATGGGATTGTCGTCAAGGCTGTGTCATCATCGCCAGCCACGGCGCTTCGTCGCGAAGTCATGGTTTGTAAGTTGAGACACGCCACTTGTCTAGGACAAATATAAACTAGGTATGAGTTCGTTGCGATGGAGAGAGAGCAGGGCGCTGAGAGTTGGTGATGTTTATGTATCCGAAGTAGGTAGGTAGGTATTTCTTGTGCGTCAGGGAATAGTGACAGCTGGAGCGACAGAGTGGGGGTGATTCAGTAGATGTGACGTTGACGTCGTTCCCGTCGTCGTCAAGGGTAACTGACTTCATTTTCTCCACCCTCAGAACTAAGATGACATTGGGTTAGTCGCCTAGGAGAGACAAAAACTTAGACCTTCATTCTAGATGAAAAAAGGAATTTGTGCAAGTCTGGTATATCTTAGCAGGCCTTGTGACCAATTAATTTTGGTACCCTTGCTCAACGTCAGTAGTTTTCTTGTCCCCTGGGGTCTCTTCACCAGCCGACTGAGATGAATTTTCTTCCTCAAGATAATGAGTATCTTCTTCTTCTTCTTCTTTTTTTAATTGAAGATCCATCATTCGCGCTTCAATCAAGTGTGTCAAGAGAAGAAAGCTCATCCCTTTCTCCCATCTTGCTATCTCCCTTCCCTCAACGTCCTCTAACATAAGAGCCTGCAATCTTCTTCTGCTCCGTTGTGATTTGGACTGCGTGGTGTCTCATCACGCATCTCATCACGCATCTCATTTTCCTCAATTGATGCTTCTTCATTCCTATTCACATCTCATGGTGATTCAATGTTAGAACACGACAATGTGATTCTCAATGTCTGATATCCATTTGATAGATAGGTATTTATTTGGGTGCCAACTCGACGCCTATCCGAATCCTCACTTTAACCTCGTGGCAATGCAATCTCATCTAGCTCCTCATATCCCCAAATAACCTGGGCGAAGCAAAGAAGGGCCTTTCCAACTCATCGGTGCTAAAGATCCGTGGCGGAGCTTGGTCCACCTCAACCAACACGCTGTATAGGTATGTGTACATATAAATAAGAAGGAATAACGTGTATGTCCATCGACGTCATCCCATATATAATCCAACTCCAGAGCCAACATGCCCGACCCAAGAGATATACTCCGTCCCAATCGTTAACCCATTAGTGATGCATACAAAATCTTTCATTCCTCCATGCGACCAAAAACACCATCGTCATCATCTTCACTACGACCGCGCGAACGCATCTCGAAGTCGTCGTCATCCATGACCGAATCACCGCTACCCTCCATCCTGACGTCGTCGCTAGGGCGTCTCATCTCACCACGAGTGAAGCTCTCAGGCTGTCGACTTGGAAAGCTATTGATGAAGCTTGCAGACAGAGACGCTGCCTGATCCAGGTATTGAGCTGGCAGCGGAGGAACGGGAGGGGCATCAGCAGGAACCATGGCAGGTCGGGATCCATTGTTGCTACCAAAACTGCAGCTCAGAAGCTCAACTGCAGCAGCCAGGTCCCGATCGTCCTCGCCTGTAGCGTTACGCCCGGAAGATCCTGGGCGGTGTTCATGGCTTGGCTGGCGGTAATGGCCAAATCCTGAACCGTAAGGCACACTTCCTGCTCCGAAGGAAGCAGCCGAAGCAGACTGGAAGCTTGTCGCGTATCCACCATTGCTGCTGAAGCGCTTGTTTCGGTACGAGGTGCCGTCAACATTGACAGCTTCGGCAAAAGGAGGTGGGGTGGTGTCGGCAGAGCTTTGTCGCTCAGCAGGATCGGAGTATCCAGACGCAGCAGGCGAGGATGAACCAGCTTCACTCTGGAAGTCCTTGGTAGACTCGGGGGGAGTGTCAGCGTTGTTTTCAACGCCGTTCATGGTTACCAGAACAGAAGCAGCCTCAAGCAGTTGAACCTGCTGATGCTTGGAAATGAGCAGCTTCGAGGTCAAAGCCCACTCAGGTGTATGCTCCCACCTAGACACAGTCAGTGACACGGATCATGGATATGAAACGTTACACGCCAAAAACAGCTCTCATCTCAAGATAAGAGCTGTTGTGCTGGGGCAAGTCATTGGGAGGAGGGGGACCAACAAGTGCTTAGTCAAGCAACTGCTATGCTTGTAGCCTTTACCGCACTTGTCACAGCGAACCTCAACCCTGTTGCTCTTCTTGCTCTCTTTGAGAGTCTGGCCATCACTGGCACGGCGTTGACGAGCCTTCTGGAACTTGGTAGTTCCCTCGTCAGCCGAGCCCTCATTCACATCGTCCTCAATGGCGCTACCATTGAGTTCTTGTTTTGTTTCGGGTATCGACTTGTGGTTCGGGAGACTAGCGGGGGGAGAGGGAAGGCTACCGACGAGTGCAGCCCGGGCAGCAGCGCTCTTGGACATCCGGCGTCCACCGCTACCGATGGGCAAGGCGGAAGAACGCTCACTTTCCCGAAGAGCGGCGGCGATCGCGGTCACATTGGTATTCGGGTTGGTGACAGACTTGCGTCGAGTCACTCGGTGGTTGGCGTTCAGAGCACCTGTTAGCAGCGAGTGCGAGCTCGTCCGAGCGTGGGATTGACGGCCGGGAAGGGCCGACGATGTGGACGACATCGGAGAACGATTCTGAGTCAATGGCCTCGAGGACTGCTGCATTTCCTGAAACGGATGAAGGAGATCAGCAAATCTGGGCCTTGGAAGGTTGTTCTGCCATCTGGCAGGTCGTGCACGGAGAGATCATGACAGGGCAAGTTCGGGGTGTGAGGTAGGGCTCGGGTCGGTTTCCCTCCGAGGATTGAGGGCAGCGTACTTTGGATGAGGCCATTGCCGGCGACTTGGGATGGATGTTCAGGATTCGACCGACTTCAGTCGTGTCGATCTCGAACTATGTGTTTGGATTGTTGTTGTTAATTACTCTTGGGGTTTGAAGTTTGCAAAGTGAGGTTGTCAAGTGTCAAGTGTTGAAGAAGGAGAAGTAGAGTCCCAGAGACAAACGAGAAATAATATTTTGGGAGACCAGCCAAGGTGTGTGGCAGAAGGTGCGGGGGAGTGTATCTTGGCTCTGAACAGATGGCTGTGTGATTTTATCACCTCGCTAGTACCCATTGAGGAATCACTGAACATGACTTTGGCCTTGGAAGTATGAGAGGGGCCTCCCTCCATGGCTCTACCTGAATGAACCAAGTAGCCAAACGAGCCTGGAGCGGCCACCGGTTCCAACGCCTTCTCCCGCAGGCCCAGGGGCATCCATCCATTCAATGGCGACAGGTGGAGAGTGTAAGACGAGCCAATTGGTTGGCTCTGTTGCCCGAACTGAGTTGCAGCAAGGAAGAGGAGTGGAAGAGCGCCTGACCTGGCTCGTGGGGGGCGTGTCCTTTGGAAACAGTGGGCGTACGATGCGCCCTATTAAGGAACTGGTCAGAGAGAACGTCGCAATCGGACGGCAAACAGGGGCTGAGCCATCTTCCCCTTGTTGTCGACCTTAATAGATAGATATGTAAGAAGGAGATACGACACGATAGTGCCTGACTCCTTTTGTGAAGAGAAGAGGAAGTTGCAAATGTATAAGCTTCATTGTTGACTTTCAGGTACCATCTACCAGCGAGAAACAGCGACAGGCGAGGGAGACGGGATAAGACTACCTACGGGCGGAAATCCGAGGTACGTCCTCTCATTCCCCTCCTCGTGGTGCATGAGGCGCTGTGCTTTGCGCTGTGCCCATGATTGGATCCTTGGATAGGCTTTTCTCGATAAGGTATGAGATGGGTGATGGTTCTCTTTGTGCACCATCATAAAAAGAAGTGCAGACGTGCTAGGATCCTCTTGTCCGCTGCACAACGTTGTAGCCAGGGGATGAAACTAACCGTTTCCCTGGAGCAGCTGTATCTCAACTCATCAGGTCCCGTCTGGCCTGGACAAACGTTGCCGGTCGAGATGGAAGACGAGTTCAGCGGGACATGTCAACCAAGTGCGATAGCAAGGGAGAGGTTGCCGGGTCGCGTTCGGGTTCTCATCGTCCGTTTTTCTTGCTGGGAATCGTCAGGAGTCAAACCGCCTCTGCCATGGACGATTCTGGGCTGATTCGTCACCCGACGCGTCCATGTTCTCATCCTCTCGTCGTACATAATAGTACAGTACACGATTTTGTACAGTTCACTCACTCACCCACAGCACTAGAACTTGCTGCCTGCTCTGGCTGCTCGCTCTCCATTTCCCCAACTTCCGAGACGGGTAGAGTGGACAGTGGCCCCGTGGCCTTAGCTTGGCGAGGCCATCCGACGTCCGCTCCAGGCTTAATCGAGATGGGCAATGAAAGCTCGCACTGGGCGGAGAGGGTGTTGATGAAATGAACGAGGGAGGACTGATTTGGAGATGGACATGGAGTGGGGTGGTGTTGAAGCCTGGGGGATCGAAAGAGGGGCTGTACACTCGTACGGTGTGTTTCCATACTGTACTGCAAAGGTGCGCGCTCACTCTACCACTTCGCTGAAGCCAGCCAAGCCTGGCTTGGAGGCGATGGCAGACCACTTGAGACTTCAATCCCAATACTTATTATGCGACAAAAATATTTAGAATATCACAGGATTGTATTGGAGAGATTTAATACTAGTGGGCTTTTTGCATAGAATACTTTTTCACACTGATCCATGGTCTTGGTCTTCATAATACCGAAGGTCGCGCAGATGAGGACTGCTCGTTATGTCTCGATGCGCGAGCCACTTCAACCATTGAAAACAATAGTTCGATGCATGTCGATAGCATACCTGGAAATGACAGTACCTTTCTATGCGGTGATAGCGAACGTGTCTCAGATTCTGCTTCTAAGGTCCAGGTGTCCTTCTCGGTCCTCGATTTGATTCGAGAATTGTTTAGTTTTTCTTCACCTCGACCCAGTGACCGACTCATCTTGCATCGGATATTTTAGAAGCGAGCCGAGAATCTTAACCGAGAATCTTGCTTCTAGCGATCGATATGCCCTGCATCGAAACTTTTACTGCCCTCATGGAATAAACTCTTCCGTCTTCTTGTGGCTTGAGGTCCCCCACGATACAATGAAAGCCTCGGTTCCGTTTCTGGAAGAGGGCTTGAATTAAACAGATAAGAGAGACAGTACCTAGCCCTTCAAGTCAAGGACGAGAGAGCGTAACGAGGCTCTCGTGTCTCTCGCTAGCTGTACCAGCTTGAGACGCGTCTAATAACACGTCAGACCAAGGAGCGATGGGTTTGTTTCGAGCCCTGTCGTGTGGAGGTTTGGAAAACCTGTTTCAGTGACCTTTCACGCACACATGCTGTAATGATCCTCCCCCATGGACCGCATGAAGTTTTTATGTTTTGAGTTTAATTGTGCAGTTAGAATTGTGTACCTGAATGGACTGGATGTTACGTGGAGTTTAAACGCGAGCGGCTCACATCAGCCGAATCCAGGTACGAGAGATTAAAGTCCAGCGGTAAATCGAGCATTCACAACCAGTCATTTATGAATGACTTGTAAAAATCATTTCGAATGCCAATAGGAGACTGTACCAAATCGGCTCATTGCATTTACGTCCTGACCTGACAATGAATGAGTCCTCTATCAGTATCCGTACTGCGTACCACTTACACGTGGTGAAGATCCCCGTCGCTTCAGACCTAAACCCTTGACCTAACCCTTGACCCTACTTCTTTTTGGTTTAGTTAACGTCCCAACTCAAGCCAAGGTGAGGAGCCCTGATCTGATCAGATAACGCTGTTTCTTCGGTCAACTGATCGCCGGGCTGGGCTGGGCTGGGCTGATGTTTTATAACCCGGCCCGGACATGGTTTTTGTGTCTCTTGTTGTCGGGCAAAAGCTAGTTGGACAGCAGTTCTTATTCGGCAATGGCTGATTCCAAGGCGATCCAAGAAAAAAAGTTTAAAAAGTTTAAGACCCCTTCTTTTCCAACTTTTTTTTTTGTTGTTATTATTGTTGTCTGCAGCTATTTGCTGGAACCACAAATTCCATGTAACCTTACAAGTTGTTTCATTGAATGCGTAGGAACGTATTACTATTACTCTAGATTAAAACCTCGCAGAGAACATTCTCGCATGTTGAGTACGAGATATCGTCTCCATGTTCATCATCAGTCACTGGATTACATTTCCCCGAAATGGACATGGGGCGTGTCTATAACAAGCGCCCAGAAGGTTTAGCTGCATATCCTTTTCATGGGTGTCTCGTCAGCTACGCCCACTACACTGTGGCGCTGTCATCTAGAGTCTGAACTCTGTGGGAGCAGTAAAAGGAGATGCCCTGAATTTAGCTGCCACCGCAATCTTTAGCCTCTAGAGCGCAACTAAGGCGCAGCGCGGAGGCTCCAGGCATCACTAATTATTAGAGAGGAGAGCTGAAAAGGGAACCGTGCTCAGCAGGGGAAAAGAAGTCATTCGGCTTATTGCTCAGTTACATGAGGTATGGTCTCTTTGACGACACGCAATGCACTGTGCCTCTTGTCGATTGGTGTTGACCTCTTGAAGAAAGAAGCCAGATCAACCAGATTCTCACGTAATAAGGGAACAGAGGCAAAATGGATGCGGGTGTGTATATGCCAACGTAACAAACAGCCCGAGAGCGATGGATGATGATACCTCAGAGGAGAAGCGGTTGAAGTGTCCCAATGGCCAATGCTTTGCGGCAATTAGCTGCACGTATCGTCGAATCCTAGAGCTCTCTCTAGCCGCAGTTGCATTTCACATTCGCAGCTCGATAGGTTCGTGATATTCAGCCAGGATTGCAGAGATATGTACTGTACACTTTGTTCGTTGCCCCTCGAATGGCTAAGATCATCCCGTCTATGTTCTAAACCTGTCCTGGATGATTGACCGGTCTCACCTGACAAGCCTACCGATTGCTGGTCACAAGGACCATCAAGAGGAGGCATCGCATCGTGGGGAAGAAACCTTGACATGTCTACCTATTCCTGTTGTGCACATATGTACATATGTACACATCTAGTACGTACAGTACTGATGATAGTTGTTGAAGGTGTAACACCAAAATGTTGGACTGCCGGGTTTCTTAGTCTAGCCTATCGAGATCTCTCCTTTCTGTAATTATTGATTAATTTTGCAAGACACGAATGGAATGTTGACTCGATCAAAAGCAAACCAAGGCACAAAGTCCATTTTTAGGACTCAAGATTTTCAACATGTTCCTGACTATCCTCCGAGACCACTGCTCTCTTGAGATAGGGCTTCGACGATCAATTTGAATCCTAGCTCACGTCGGAAAAAAACTGCCAATGAAGCTATGCCCTCCAATGCCAATTTTTTGCAACGATTGGGCTTTGACACATGGAGCTAATGATCTGGAGCATCGGTTGGAATGGTCACATTATTCCTCGGTGACTTTGTACAGTGTCTTTCTTACACAAACAATGCCGAAGTAGCTTTGAGAATTGGTAACAAGATTTCAACTTTTTTCCCTATTTCAAGTTTGTGATACAATGACGCCATCAAATGGTCTCCCCTGGCCGTGGAACCCTTATCGAAGGTCATCATGCCGTAGATTCTTGCCTTTCTCTTCTCATGGCGATTGCTCATTGACTTTTAGATTTTTTCTGACATTTGATGTAACTCTGACATGAAGGTGAACAACAAACACAATGCATAAAAAAACACAATGCTCAAACTGGTGTGGGAAAAAAGATGGACTCCTCAAAGCAAAGACTCCCTAGACTCCATCAGAGCCTCAGAGTGGAATTCTGGGACGCATTGGGAGCTTCTGAGCTTACCTTGACAAAGCCAATCAGACTCAGCAAACATTCCTCCACAGTTTACCAATCTCGATCTTCGATCCTGTCTTGGC